TCCAAGGAGTGGCTGGTGGGTTTGAACCTCCAGCCTTCTGGTTAGCAGTCAGGTGCCTTAGGCACTATGCTACCAGAGATGACTCAAGGGAAGGTTAATTCCTAAGGGGTGACTTAAAAAGGTGAGGGGGTAGAAAAACCACAATAAGAGTGCAATAACTGAAACTGACAGCGGTCAAAGTGTAGCTGTCCCAGGCAGGGAGGATGGAGGAGGGAAGTGTTCACCAGGCCTAGAAGGAAAGAGTGGTGTACAGGCAGCAGCTGCCTTGAGAGGCTTGGTGACCTGAAGTCAAAGGAGCCAGCCAGCTCAGGGCAACACACAGAGAAGGGACCACAGGAATAAGCACCCCGACTTCACTCTCCCTCTTTGTGCCATCTCCTGTTAGGGTTCCACACTGGCCCAACCCAACTGATAGTGAGAGGGCACAAAGCCTGTTAATGTAGTCTATACAAGTGCACTGTGGTAAATTACTTAGTGTGGCTTTTCTACCCATAAGTCATTGTACTCAGTGGTGGAGTGAGCAACTGAGGAGCTCCTGATTGTAAATGTTATCAACCTGGGTTATTTCTGGTGGGCGTGGCACAACACAATGTTATGGGAGGCTCACTCTTAGGTGTTTAGAATTCTGTTGTTATGATTGGTTGGTTTGGCCACTCTGCCGGGCTCAAAAGGAGGCCTCATAGAGGCAGAACTCTCTCTGACTGCTGGTTGAGGAAGACGTGCTGCTGAAAGAGACACGGGCTCCGTGGGACTATGCAAATGTGAGGTGCTGTGGCCCACCAAGTGGACTGAACAGCTTATTAATAACGTCAATTAAGGCACATGGCACCCTTGTGGGGGTGGGACCATGGAAATAAGGTATATGGCACCCTAACATGGGGACTGATCAGTTTTGCCACCCTGCTAGACTTAAAATGAGCCATCACTGAGGTGGAAAGGGAGGATATCACTGCCACCAAGAGAGAAGAGCCAGGAGTAGACAGAGTCCTTGGGCCCAAGATCCCTGTGCTGAGATGGCAGAGATGGTGGCAGCAGAGGCGGCTGAACCAAGAGACCGTCACGATACAAAGCAGCGGGCTTGCTGGCCCATGGAGTGAGAAAGATGAGTGCCTTTGGGCAGGAGGCTAGCTGGCGGAGTGGGGTGCACCTATCGGCAGAGCTAGAAGAGCTCTGAAATGCTGTCCAAGCAGGGTGGAAGCCGGGCCAAGAGGTCAAGGGCCAAAGAGAGGTGTGCCTATGCACATGGCTGAGAGGAGGCTGTCCTGATCAAAGAATTGTATCCCGAGTATTCCTGAACGAGAACTGTCACTTCCTTAAGAAACCTCATAATCATGAGTATTGTCTGTGAGTTTTGTGTGGCTACTGCAATGAATTACTGAACCCAGCAAAGGAGTACAGAGTGCCGTGGAGGGATGGTTGCTACTGCAATGAATTATTGAACCCAGCAAAGGAGTACAGAGTGCCGTGGAGGGATGGTTGCTACTGCAATGAATTATTGAACCCAGCAAAGGAGTACAGAGTGCCGTGGGAGGGATGGTTGGTGTTGGAACTGGTAAAAGGATTAGAGGGTGGTGGTACGTCTGACCTTTGCCTCACAGCAATCAGCCTTGGGCTTAGGCTGCTGATGGTGATTCTGTCTCCCTGTCGTGAAGTTAGAGGAGGTCAGACACGGCCCCCCACACCCTTATTGCAGGTGCATTGGCTGGGAACTGAACCCAAGTCCCCTTTGGGGAAGGCGAAGATTCCACCACAGAGCCACCACTGCCCATAGAAGACATGGAGGAACATTACATGTACACTGCTCAGGGGAAGCAGCCAGGCTGCAAAAGCTACAATGCATGGTTCCAAGCACAAAATGTTCTGCAAAAAACAAAACTATGTTGTTAGTTGCTATGTAGATTCTGACTCATGGGGACCCCACGTGTGCAGAGTGGAAATATCCCATGGGGTTTACAGGGCTGTCACTTTTCAGAAGCAGTTCACCCGGCCTGTCTTCCAAGGACCCCTGGGTGGGTTCGAACTGCCAGCCTAGCGGTGAAACCTAGCTTAACTATTTGTGCCACCCAGGGACCATGGCAAAACTATAGAGACAGTGAAAAGACCAGTGGTTGCCAGCAGTTCAGGGGGAGGGAGGGATGGGCAGATAGGTGGAGGGAGCCAGGGGCTTTTATACGGCACTGAAACTATTCTGTATGGTACCATAATGGTGGATACATGACATTAAGCATTTGTCAAAACCCACAGGACAGGACACCACCAACAGTGAACCCCAATGGACTTTATCTAATAATGGCATACCAACATTGGTTCGTCAATTTTAGCAAATGTATCACAGTAATGCAAGGTATTAATAATTACAACTGTATACACAGGGAGGGTCCCTGGGTGGAGCGAATGGTTTGTGCTCGCCAACTGACCTGATGGTTGGTGGTTTGAACCTACCTAGAGGAGAAGCAGAAGAAAGGTCTGGTGCCTGCTTCCGTAAAGATCACAGTGAAGAAAAAGCTATGGAGCAGTTCTACTCTGACTCATGTGGGACTGCCACGGGTCAGAATCAACTCAACGGCAACCAGTCTGTTACGGTGTGTGTGGGGTTAACACGGGAACCCTCATTTCTGTCTGCACAGGTTTTTGGTCAGCCTCAAACTGCTCTCAAAAATAAAGTCTGTTAAAAGAAAACAGGACAACAGTCCCCTCTGGGGCAAGAGAGGTGAGGACTGAAGGGGTAGGGGTGGCAAAGGAACGTTCTGGACAGATGGAAACCTTCCATGTTGTGATCAAGGTACCAGTGACATGGGTACAAGTATCTGTCCAAAGAAAGTTACAGGCACACGTAATATCAGCACACAGCATTCAAGGTAAATTACTCCTCAATGAAAAAGAACAGTGTGCACAAAACAACATGCTCAGTGAGAGAAGCCAGACATGAAAGAACAAATACTGTCTGACCTCAGTTATATGGAATGCCCAAACCAAAACCCAAACTCACTGCCGTCGAGTAGGATCTGACTCGTAGCTACCTCTCCTCAAGTTTCTGAGGCGATATCACTATAGAATAGATTGCCCAGTCTTCCTTTCGAGGAGTGGCTGGTGGGTTTGAATAGCCAGTCTTCTGGTTAGCAGTCAAGTGCCTTAGGCATTACACTACCAGAGCTCCCATGCAACGTCCAGAATGGGTAAGTCCAGAGACAGAAAGCGGATTTGTGGTTGCCAGGGGCTCAGGGAGAGAAAACAGGGAATAATTACTAATGAGTACGGGGTATCCTTTGGGGTGATGAGAACATTCTAGAAGTGATAGTGTGTGCTTGTGTAACTTTGTGAATATAATAAAAACCAGTGATTTCTACAGTTTAATTTCACGGTATCTGAATTATATCTCAATAATGGTGTTATAGTGCCTAAGGCATCTGACTGCTAACCAGAAGGCTGGCAGTTCAAACTCACCAGCCACTCCTTGGAAGGAAGGTTTAGCAATCTACTTCCGTAGTGATACCGCCTCAGAAACCCAAGGAGGGGTCAGGTCTGACTCTACAGCAGTGTGCTTGGTTTTTTGGGGGGGTAGACCACATGAGTAAGTGCCCGACCACCAGGAGAAAGGTTGGAGGTTCGTTCCTACCCAGAGGTCCCTGGGAGGACAGGCCAGGTAATTGGCACCTGAAAGGTCACAGCTCTGAAAACCCCAGGGAGCAGTTGTACTCTGCACACAGGGGGTCACCTTCAGTCAGAAGCAACCTCATGGCAGCTAACAACAACAAAGGTGTTATAAACAAACAAACAGAGACTTGATGCTGAGTGACAAGGAGTCAAACCCAAAGGCCACACAGTATCTGATTCCATTGACAAGACAGGTCCAGAACAGGCAAATCCATAAAGACAGGAAATGGATTAAGTGTGTGCCTGGGCCTGGGTGAGGAGGCTAGGAGTGATTGCTAATGATTGGGTTTCATTTTGCGAGGTGATGAGAAGGTTCCGGAATATAAGATACATGTGGTTTCAAAACATTATGAATGGACTAAATGCCACTGAAGTGCTCACTTAAAAATCATTAACCCACTTACAGAAAGTATCTAGAATAGGCAACTGTATGGGATCCAAGTTGATGAGTGGTTACCAAGGGGGGCAGGAGGGAAGGGACACTGAGCTGCTGTTACAGGTGATGGGAAAATTCGGGAACGGTTAACAGTGAAGGTTGATTAACACAATGAATGTAATTAATGTCACTGAATGGGACCTGTAGAAATGGTAAATGTTTTTTTTACCTATATATTTACCACAATTAAAAAAAAATTAAAGTGGCATATTTTGTGTCACAAGTATTTTAATACAAATAATAAATAAAAAAATTAAGAAAAGGGAAAAAGAGAAAAGGGGGAAAAGCAGTTTAAAGTTTATCCCAAGTTCTGAGGATGTGGGTGACCTGTACCCTGTACTCGGCTCAGCACTCTCTCTGTCCCCATAAGCCAACTGTTGTCCAGGGGAGACAGTACCCCAGGCCCCACGACTCTACAGTGGGCACACATTTTGGGAGTGAGGGCTGGTGCCCCAGCCACTGCACTGTCCCCCAGACTACCTGACAAGCCCAGGCCCAGCTGCGTCTGACCGATTCCCTGACCCCACGACAAAGGCCCTCTTTGTTCACTGGTAATATCCTTAGCAGGTCTGTCTAGACGCTGCACTGGGGCAACAATTGTCCCGTGATGTCAACACGCCATCGGCCAGCCCCTCTGTGCTGGCTCAGGCGGGGACGGTCCAGGAGGCAGCTGAGCTCAGGGGCTCCCAGCTCAACACCCACCTAAGCCACCTGGGGAGAAACATACACAGCCAGCCTCACATGACCACCACGTAGGATCAGGCGACACTCAGGGATGTGGTCCCTCCTAGGGGAGACACTGCTGAGAGGCAGCTGCGGTTCTGGGGAGACACATACTGGGTCACCCCTCCATCTTCACAATGTCTACCTGCCAAGTATCCAACACTGAGGCAGGTTTACTGGGGATTCTACATGGAAGTCAGGGGAGAGAGACAGCGGGAGAAACAGAGATACAAAGACGGAGAGAGGAGAGACACAGAGAGAAATGGAGAGAGAGAGGGAAAAAAGGGGGAGAGAGATGAAGGAGAGTCAAAGACTCAGAAAGAGAAGGAGAGAATGATGTGGACGGTCACACACAGGCAGAGAGTAACAGAGAGAAGAGAGGCAGAGGCGGGTAGAGAGAGGGAGAGGTCCGCTCTAACTGACCCCAGGCATGAAGGAGGGTCCTTCTGTAGATGACAAGCTGGGCTTCTGAGAAATCCACAGGGGCAGGAAGTAGTCTACTCCACTGTCACACACCCATCTTCGGGGTGGGGGACGGACGTCCTCTGTGCCAGCACCTCCCAGAACACCCTAGGTACATTTTCCCGGGACGTGCATCCGACTCAGCCGACAGCCACCCCCAAATGGGCACATCTGCTTTCACCCAGGGCCTAAAAAACCACGCAGCTGCTCCGTATGACAGGGGCGGCCCCCACTGACCCCCGCGCTGCACAGAAAATGCTGGACACAAAAGCAGGTGCCATGCGATTCCCTTTATGGAAGTTTTAGAACAGACAAAAGTGACTGACAAGTGATCATGTCTGCACAGTGATTACACCTTGGGGAGAGTGCCCGGGAAGAGGCCCGAGGGGGCTTCTGCTGGCTGGAAACGTTCTAGACTTGGTCTGGTCGCAGGTGGCACAGGGGTGCAGATACATGAAATCTCATCACGTTATCAACATCCAGGCACTTGGGTGTATGCTTTGTTAGCTGCCGCCAAGTCCATTTCCGTTGTGGTGACCTCACGTGTGTAGAGCTGAGCTGCTGCAGGGCTTTCGTGGCTGTGGTCTTTCAGGAACTTTCCGACTTTCCTCCCAGACGCCTTTGGGTGGGTTTGAACCACCATCCTGCTAATAGTTGAGTGCTCAATCATTTGCACTACCCAGAGACCAGTGTGTATTTTCGACTCCAGTTTTGTTTTGTTTCTTTAACTGGGTAACATCTAATCTGAGTTGGCATCTTTTTAGCTATGGAATGCTCCAAAATCCTCTTCTTGTTTCATAAACTTCAGGAGCATCATGGGAAGGCCTCCCACAGAGGTCTGGAGAGTTTGGGCACTGATAGAAGGGACATCACCCCTTAGGCTGCAGGATTAAAGGCTGCCATCCCCACCACCTCAAGTCTGGAGCTAGAGGGATTCCCAAAGATTGTTTAATTGATTTTTTCCTCTATTTAAGATGCAGATCACAGTGTCTGGGGCCCAGGAATTCAGACACACGCCTTTGTGTCCACTCAGGCCCGTGAAGGCTGTTGTCTGAAACCTCCACAAAGCCAGACACACACGGCTTCGGAAACACGCTGTTCCTTTTTGTCTGGGCCCTGGGGAGCAGGACAGTGGACCCCTCCCACATCCCGCCCGCAAAGTGGGATGAAGAAGAAAGAAAAAAAAAAAAAAGGAGGTAGCCTACATTTTGGGGTTCAGAGCAGGGGAGAACAAAAGATGGGAGCCCCAGCTGAGGGGTGCTGCATTGAGATTTCAATGTAGATTTGAATTTGGGCCTGGAGGATGCTGGGGCGTCTTAAATCAGGAAGCTAATGGGCTAGGATTAACGCGGGGCTGATTCCGGTCCCTGACAGTCTGATTTATAACAAGGGGAAGATGTCTCCCTCTTTCACTCTGCCCATTGTCCCCCAGTCTGTCCCTCCAAATGCCCTGTCAGACAAAGAAACCAGGAACCTTTCTCAGGTTTACCACCCAGCTTGGGAGAGTGGGAAAGAACCCCCAATCTGCAGCCTTCTCCTCCCTCAGCTTCAGGAAGGGACAGGGAAGGTCACTGTACCCTCTAACAAGTTAAGACACTCCCAGTGTCTGTCTGGGCCACCCACTGAAACATCCCAGGGAATCTTAGGTTGGCCATTTGGGAATCTGTTGTTGTTATTTGCTGTCGAGTCGGCCCCGACTCATAGCGACCTCTCCTTGGGTTTCCGAGGTAGTATCACTACAGAAGTAGGATTGCCCAACCTTCCTTCCGAGGAGTGGCTGGTGGGGAATCTAGCTCCATATAAATGGGAAAGATTTTGATAAGAGGAAAAAAGATCCACATCTGGGTGATTCCTAGAGGAGCGAAAGTGAAGGACACTTTCACAAACCAGCAGTATTTATTCACGTTGGCCCCCAAGCCTGGGTCTGTGGCCTCTAGCCAGGGTGTGGGACACTTGTAAGCAGTGATAAACCCGTTTCCTGGCCAAGTGACCTCAGATGACCCCCTTCACTTCTCCAGCCCTCAGTCTTCTCATCCATCAAGTGGGCACAAGAATAACCACACAGACCTTAACAAGGTGGCGCCAACAGTTAAACTCAACGACTAGCCAAAAGGTTGGCCATGCAAACTCACCCAGAGGTGCCTCAGAAGACAGGCCTGGCACCTTGCTCTGAAAGTTCACAGCCCTGAACAATGGTGCAGCTCTGCTCTGCACACATGGGGTTGTCACTGAGTTGGAATCAACTCAAGGGCAACTAACAACCACAGTATCCCATGGGGATGAGGTGGTGGAGCTTCTGCAGTCCAAACCAAACCAAACCAAACCACTGCCACCAAGTCCATTCCCCTTTGGGTTTCTGCATCTTTATGGAAATACGCTGCCACAGAGTGGCTGGCGGGTTTGAACCACCAACCTTCCGGTTAGCAGTCAAATGCCTTAGGCACTACACCAAGAATTCTTGATTTCCACGTGGAAGACCCAGGTTCAATTTCCAGCCAACATACCTCACACACAGACTAAGATGGACTAGGCAGAAGGGCCTGGTGATTGCATTCCAAAAATCGGCCAATGAAAACCCTGCGGGTCACAACCGTCCAACCCCCAAGGGATGTGGTGCAGGACCAGCTGTTCACAACACTCCAGGGGGCTGGCGGGAGAACTCAGAGTGCCGGAGAACAAAAAACACTTCCTGAATCACAAGTCCCCAAACATAAGCTACAGTGATTATCATGATCCAAGAAGGTGTGAGTACTGGACTTTGATACTCCTCACAACATGCCTCCCCCCACCCCCACCAGATGGCCTCTTTGCAGGTTCCTCTCTCTCCAGAGTGCCAAGTATTATTACCAGGAAGCCAGCCTCAATCTGACTCCTACCTTGTGCCAGTGACTTACCTGGACTGCTATCCAGCTGGCGTTCACAGTGTGCTCCCCAAAAGGGCCGAACCCTGGAAAAGCAGCAAAAACAGCGGGTCACCAAGGAATGCTGCTGTGGGTGTTGCTGGTTCCGCTGGAGCTACAGAGAGCAGCTGTGACTGAGAGCATGCTGGAAGCCTGCTCCTAAGTTCTGGGGTACACCCCCTGCCTAGCACCTTCCCCTCCCCCCATCCTCAACCTCCAACTCACCCTCAGACCCTGCAAGGGCCAGCAGCCTCTTACGGCCCCTGGACTTTTTCTGCTGTCTCAGTACGGGGCTGTCCCCCATGCAGAGGGGTAGTGTAAGGTCTGCCTTGTCCACGTGGTGTCCCTAGTGTCCAGCTTGTTGAAGGTGCTCTGTGAAGCACACTGGATGAGAAGTAGACCATAGGGATGTGTGAAGGTCTCCCCCAGGCCACTCACCCCCCCCCACAAACTCCAGGCCTGATTTCCAAACTCAGTCACTTTGCAAGCAGGGCTGCCACCCACGTGCCAACTGCACCAAGAGGGTGCTAAGTGCTCAGCATGGCATTCAGGCATCCCCTTTCAGGGAAGGGCACTGATGGGCCCATTTTACAAGCACAGAAAGAAGCTGGCTGCCCTGGGTCACACAGTGAGAAGGGAGAAGGGCGGGCATTCCTATCCAGTCCCATGACAATTACTGCCTCCCTCCTCTAATCACCTGGTCATACTGCTTTAAAAATAAGGGTCACCAAGGAAGGCTGTCCCAGACGCCTTGGCTACCCAGGCTGGACAAAGGTGCCCTGGGAGAGGTGCTCAGAGCCTTTCCTCCTGCATAAACCAAGTTAAAGTCCTGACTGGATCACTTACAAGCAGGATGCCCTCTCAGAGCCTCGGTTTCCCCACTGTAAAATGAAGCCAATGAGGATTTAGTGAGTTCCTGCAAGGAAAATGCTCAGCCTAGCACCTGACAGGTATGGCTCATTCATCAGTAACCAGACACTGCCTGACTGCAAGGGGTAGCTGACTCCCCCTCCCCGGGCTATACACACCTGTTGGACAGGTGAGTGGCTTCTTCATCTCCCCTGGAGTCCCAGGACCATCCCCTCCACTCCCCTGGCCTCCGGGGCCACAAAACACCTTTGCCAGTCCTGGCCAGGAATCCCCCCTAACGACATACACAGGTTGTTAAAGTGACACCTCCCCTCCCCCGCACGTAGAGGGGTCGGAAGTGGAGAGGCCACGTGGCAGAGGCGGAGTCTCCGCGCGGAGAAACAGTTGATTTCGGGGAGTCAGTGACAACAGGCGCTGGGCTTGCCATACACTCAAGACACTGAAGACGATCACTGGGGCGACCGGGAGACCCAGCGCCCGACGTCCCCGACCATCACCTGAGGTCTCCGAAGTCCCACCCGCCCTGCCTCCCATTAGTGAAGGCGTGGGGAGCAGTGGCTGCGAGGAGGTTCATTTGTCACCCGGGGCACTTCCTGCCCGCAACTCGGCCTTTGTCCCCTGGGGCCGGGGGTGGAAACAGGCCGACCTTGGGAGGGGCAAGAGGGAGGCAGCCAGCCCAGCCCGCGGGCCTGAGGGGCTGGGCAGGTGCCCAGAGGTCACTGTCCTCACCCGGGCGCTAGAGGAGCCTGTCCGCGCGGGCACCCTGCCCAGTCCCCACTATCCCAGCCCCTAGCCCCACTCTCTCATCGGCCGGGACCAGCAGGGCTCCGTGGACGATGACACCTTCAAAGCCTGGCACGACTTCTAGCAAGTCCCGCCCGGGCGTTCTGCTGCCCAGCCCGCCGGCACCGGGCCCTCCAGCCCTCCCGCCGCTGCCGCCGCGCCCTCCGTCAGCTCGCCCGCCCGCGTACCCGTCACCACCACCGCTTTCTTGGGCTGCTCCATGGCGGGTTGGCTGCCGGCTCCGACCCGCTCCAGGACCGACTGTCGCGCGGCTGCCGCCGCTGCAGCGGCCGCCGCCCCGGGCCCCGCCCCTGCCCGCTAATCGGCGTGCGCGTCCTCGGTACGGGACGCAGCGTGCGCGTCCCCGACGCCGGTCCCCAACCTATAGTCCCTAAGTGACCCCTGCACCCTCCCCAGCCTCAGTCTCCTCACCTGTAGAATGGGGCCAGTGCGTCCCGCTTGACCCAGCTGGTCGCGTATTCCCCAAGTGGGCAGTGAGCACTTACTGTATGCCTTAAAAAGAAAAGCAAAAAACACTTTAAAACCAAGTTTTCTTTAGCTTTGATACATGCTAATGACCCACCAGTTAACACACTGAACCCCTGCACACTCAAAATGTTCTGTAAAGTTTTTTCTTTCTAGTAAACACTAGACAGTGCATTGACAAAAAAAAAAAAAACTTGGTGTGGAGTTGACCGTGACTTAAGGTGACCCCACGTGAGGCACAGTAGACCTGTTGTCGTATGGTTTTCAATTTTCAAACCCACCAGCCACTCCTCGGAAGGAAGGTTGGGCAATCCTACTTCCGTAGTGATTGTTGTTGTTGTTGTTATGTGCCGTCGAGTCGGCCCCGACTCATAGCGACCCCTCCTTGGGTTTTCGAGGCAGTATCACTACGGAAGTAGGATTGCCCAACCTTCCTTCCGAGGAGTGGCTGGTGGGTTTGAACCGCCAGCCGTCTGGTTAGCAGGCAAGTGACTTAGCCACTATGCTACCAGAGCTCCTCGGAAACCCAAGGAGGGGTCGCTATGAGTTGGGGCTGACTCGATGGCACATAACAACAACAATTTTTAAGTAGATGCCAGGTCTTTCTTCCAAGGCACCTCTGGGTGGATTCCAACCTCTAACCTTTCAGTTAGCAGCTGAGCTTGTTCATGGGCTGCCATTACTTAGGGACTCCAATGTGTGCCTCAAACCAAAAAAACCAAACTCACTCCCACTGAGTTGTTTCCGACTCATACCGACCCCCTTTGGGGTTGGAGGCGGTAAGTCTTTTCAGAAGTAGATTGCCCAGTCTTCCTTCTGCAGAGTGGCTAGTGGGTTTGAACCACCAACCTTCTGGTTAATACTCAAAGCACTACGCCACCAAAGCACCTTAATGTGTGCCTACTGCCCACAAATTATCTGGGCAACCCAAACTCTCTGTGAGAAAGGTGTATTCATCCCATTCTACAGATGAGGAAACTGAGGTGAAAACTGGCACCCACAGTTAGGCGGTGCTAGAAGGTGCTCTGCAGTCTCCCATAATGCTAAGGACACTGATGTGGCCCCAAAGACCTCTGGCCTCTGCTCCTGCTTTCTCCCCTTGGCTCACCCTGCTTCAGCCTCAGTGCCCTTCAAGGGCCTAACACAGGTCACCTCAGGGCCTTTGCATTCATTCTTCCCACTGCCTGGACCATTCCAAAGACACTGGAAAGCCTGGCCCTTCTCCTCCTTGAGGCCTCAGCTTGAATGTCACTTCCTCCAAGGATTGCTCCTCTTCCCAGAAGCTACCCTCCCCCAGGCTCTAGTAACTCCATCTTCCTTCCTTTTTCAGCCTCTTCCCAGCAGTTACCACATTCGGCAATCATTTCCTTTATATTCAGTGCAAGGAGCCCTGGTAGCACAACTGTTAATTGTTCCTCTGCTAACCAAGTCAGTGTAAAACCAAGTCGGTTCTAAGGGCGAAAGATTACAGCCTAAGAAACTCTATGTAGCAGTTCTACTCAGTTCCAGTGTTGTTGCTGTGAGTTGAATCGACAACGTATTCAATGCCTTTCTTGTTTACTCCCCCTTTCTGTTGACATGAGGTGATGTTTCCAGGGCAGGAGGTGTTTTTAGTCACATCTAAGTCCCCTGCACCCAACACCCACCTGGTACATAGTAGGCCCCCACCCAAATTTATTAGAATTCCTTCAAAAACAGCTAGGAAGTGGTATATACCCCAAAAACTTGAAAGCAGAGACTCAAACAGAGCCTTGAATACCAATGTTCATTGCAGCACTATTAACAATAGCCAAAGATGGAAGCCATCTAGATGCTCATCAACACAAGAATAGATAAACAAAATGTGACTCATATATACAATGGAATACTGCTAGCCAGTAGAAGAAACGAAGTCTTGATACTTGCTACAGTATGTATGGAGCCTGAAGGCATTGGGCTGAGTGAACTAAGTTAAACACAAAAGGACAAATATTGTATGATCTCACTTGTAGAAGAAGACAAGAAAAGGCAAAAGTAAACCGAACAGCAAACCAAAGTTTATTCGTGGTTACAAGGGGTGGTATTGCATTAAGCAAATCTGCTGTAAAGACTTCTTTAAAATGTTCAAAAGAAAGTTGTCACCTAGAGGACTAAGCTATGCCTGCCTCATGCTGTGGTACTCTCAGTCAGCTCATGCATGCCAAAGCTGGACAATAAATAAGTAAAACCAAAGTACTGATGCTTTTGAATTATAGTGTTGGTGAAGAATAGCGAATATACCATGGACTGCCAGAAGAACGAACAAATCTGTCTAGGAAGAAACACAGCTGGAATGCTCCTTAGAAGTGAGGGTGGCAACACTTCATCTCACATACTTTGGACGTGGTATCAGGAGGGACCAGTCCCTGGAGAAATATGTCATGCTTGGTAAAGTAGAGGGTCAGGGAAAAACAGGGTGACCTTCAACTAGATGAATTGATACAGTAGCTGCAACAATAGACTCAAATATAGTAGTGATTGTGAGCACGGTGTAGGAATGGGCAGTGTTTCATTCTGGGAGGGGGGAAAAGGAAGGTTAATGGTGATGGAAAAATTGCATTGATTATGGTAGGGTTTCACAGCTGATTGTTATAATTGCTGTCAATAAATTGTACACCTGTAAAAAGTTGATGGCAAAAGTTGTGTGACAGATGTTGTCTTAGGCTGGATTCTCTAGAGAAGCAAAACCAGTGAAATAAATTATATATCATAGCAACCCCCATTGGGTTTCCAAGGCTGTTGATCTTTATGGAAGAAGACTGCCTCATCTTTCTTTTGTGGAGCTGCTGGTGGTTTTGAATCACTGAACTTTTGGTTAGCAGCCAAATGCCTAAACCATACTACACCACCTGAGCGCCTTTCATATATGTACATACATACAGAAAGAGAGAGAGAGAGAGAGAGATTTATCTCAAAGAAATGACTCATGCAGTTGTAGAGGCTGGCAAGTTCCAAATGGGTCAGACATCAAGATGGAGGTTTCTCCTGACTTGTGAAGCTGCAGGGGCTGATGAAACCAAGGTCAGGAGGCAATACAGTGGGCTACTGGCTTTGGAAGCTGACAAATCGAAGATCATCAGGTAAAATGGCAGCCTGTTGTCTCACAGACTACGAAGGCAACAATCCCAAGATTGACAGGCAGTATGGAAGCTCTGGTAGTGTAGTGCCTAAGGCATTTGACTGCTAACCAGAAGGCTGGTGGTTCAAACCCACCAGCCACTCCTTGGAAGGAAGATTGAGCAATCTACTTCTGGAGTGATACCGCCTCGGAAACCCAAGGAGGGGTTGCTATGAGTCAGGTCTGAGTCGACAGCACATAACAACAACAACAACAACAACATGGAAAGCCACTAGTTCAATTCCAAGAACCAGAGGTCAGATGATGATGAGCCAGATGCAGGATCCAGAGTGAGCAGAAAACCAGAGAGCTTTGCCACAGCTTTTCTCTATATATTGGATGCAGGCCACACCCCAAAGAAAACTCCCTTTCAACTGATTGGCTGTTCATAGTGAAGCCATGATATTTCCAATCACCTTGTATGCATACAAGAGCTGGACAATGAATAAGGAAGACTGAAGAAGAGTTGATGCTTTTGAGTTGTGGTGCTGGCGAAGAATGCTGAAGGTACCATGGACTGCTAAAAGAACTAACAGATCTGTCTTAGAGGAAATGTAGCCAAGATGCTCCTTGGAAGCAAGGATGGCCAGACTTTGTCTCACCTACTTTGGTCATGTTGTCAGAGGGGACCATCCCCTGGAGAAGGATGTCATGCTTGGTAAGGTGGAGGGTTGATGAAAGAGGGGAAGGCCTTGACGAGATGAATTGACACGGTAGCTGCGACAATGGGCTCAAGTATAGCAAGGATCATGGAGCTGGCGCGGGATTGGTTGGTGTTTCATTCTGCTGTGCATGGGGTTGCTATGAGTCGGAAATGACTCGACAGCACCTAACGACAACAACAACAAGTGAAGCTGAGTGGAATCAAAGTCCAGCCTGCATCCTCAATTGGAGGCAGATAAGTAAGTATGATAACTCAGTTCCTTCAGAACTGAATAGAATGAAATCTCAACTATCACCCCTACCCTGGTTAAGACAGATACCTCATGAATCAAAACTCAGTCCGCATCCTGTTACCTCGGTTGGAGGCAGATAAGTAAACATAACTCAGTTCCTTAAGAACTGAATGGAATGAAAAGTCAATTCACACATCCTCTCCATGTTATCCCCCTAGAAATAAGTGATAAGTATGTTAATGTGTGTTTCAGGAAACAACTTGAAAATTAACTTTGGCCCATGGACATGTGCAGTGAAACAAATGGGAACAAAGTTGCTGGGAACTGACATTCTCCCCTCTGCCCAAGCCCCATCAGCTGATGACAGGAAGCCGATGTGACTCATCTGGTGTGCAAGTGCACTGCATTAAAAATCGACGGTCCCTTTAAACTGAGGCAAAGGAAGCCTCAGCCAATCCTCAGTTAATTCACCCCCAAATTCCTGAAGTTTTTATGAATATGTATAACCTCCTTCTCCTGAAGCTTACAAAACTATATCCTGACCTCTATTCAGGGAGTCAGATTTGGGTACTGGCCCCTATCTCCTTGCATTGCTGCTTTGCAATAAATAATTTTCTCTCCTCTTAATTACTTGATGTGTAAACTATTTTGGCCTGATTGCGCACCGGGCAGGGACCCATGTCTGGCCCTACTTCAATAGCAGA